AACAAATTTCAACCCAAAATTAATCAGGTCTGCCTATTGTCCAAGAGCATTTATGTACCAAATTTTATTCAAATGTGATGGTCAGTAATTGAGATATCAGTGTTAATTAATTATGTTAATTAGGTGATTAATAAGCACAAATATTTACCAAAAACTAATTGGATCTCTGCATAGTCCTAGGTTCATTGAAATGTGATGATGAGTACTCTTTAAAAGTGTCATTAAAATCCAATTGGTGGTTCTTTATATAGCAGTGGAACATTCATGGACAGGTAATTAGGTAATTAATGTCCACAATTATTTACTGTAAAACTAATCAGGTCTCTGCATAGTCCTAGAAGATCTATGTAGCAAGTCTCATTGAAATATGATGATTATTACTTGAGATATCAGGTGGAAAGCTGAAAATTAACTAATTATGCTAATAAGTTAATTAATATGCACAAATATTTACCCCAAAACTAATCAGGTCTCTGCACAGTCCTTAAGTAGCTATGTACCAAGTTTCATTGAAATATGATGATTACTACTTGAAATATCAAAAGCTGAAAACTAATTAATTATGCAAATTAGGTAATTAATATGTACTGATATTATCCTAAAAACTATCAGGTCTGTGCAGTGTCCTATGACATCTATGTACCAAGTGTCATTAAAATGTGATGATTACTACTTGAAATATCGAAAGCTGAAGATTAATTAATTATGCAAATTAGATATTTAATATGTACTGATATTACCCTAAAAACTCAGGTCTGTGCAGTGTCCTGTGACATTTATGTACCAAGTTTTATTAAAATGTGATGATTAGTACTTGAAATATCAAAAGCTGAAAAATAATTAATTATTCAAATTAGATATTTAATATGTACTGATATTACCCTAAAATCTACCAGGTCTGTGCAGTGTCTTATGACGTCTGTGTACCAAGTTTCATTGAAATATGATGATTACTACTTGAAATATCAAAAGCTGAAAACTAATTAATTATGCAAATTAGGTAATTAATATGTACTGATATTACTCTAAAAACTATCAGGTCTGTGCAGTGTCTTATGACATCTATGTACCAAGTTTTATTAAAATGTGATGATTACTACTTGAAATATCGAAAGCTGAAAATTATTTAATTATGCAAATTAGGTAATTAATATGTACTGATATTATCCTAAAAACTATCAGGTCTGTGCAGTGTCTTATAACATCTATGTACCAAGTTTTATTAAAATGTGATGATTACTACATGAAATATCAAAAGCTGAAAATTAATTAATTATGCAAATTAGGTAATTAATATGTACTGAAATTACCCGAAAAACTATCAAGTCTGTGCGGTGACCTATGACATCTATGTACCAAGTTTTATTGAAATGTGATGATTGGTACTTGAGATATCAGTGGAAAAGCCAAAAATTGATTAATCATTATGCAAATTAGGTGATTAGTATGCATGGATTTTTGCTAAAACCTAATCAAATCTGCGCATTGGCCTAGAGCATCTATGCACCAAGTTTCTTCAAAAGTCAATGTTTTTTCTCAAAATTTACTAAATATAATAAAGCGGGAGGGTCGTCACCTGCGCACGTGCGGGAATTGAGTCCCAAGCGATGATAACAACACACGCTAAAAATGCAAAGACGTGTTTGTAAACAACACAGTTACCCCCAACCAATTAGAAGTCTAATGTTAATCAACGGAAACTAGTCATATATCAGACTAACGAAATTATGGTGCTAATAGCTTGTATTATATTTTTTTCTTGATGACTAAAGGCCGATGGTCGTCGCGCGGCGCGTGTACGAATTTCATGTAAACAAACAATGTATTTTACACGCAATGTATATGTCGCATGAAAAAAAAAAAAAAAAAAAAAACGCATGACGATTCGTATCATCTGGATTACGCTTAGCTTCTCTGCGATTTACGGTCCGTATATCTTAAGCGTAGCTTGGACCCCCCAATACATTTGCTGGATCCGCCACTGTAAACGAGAGCGCAGTTTCTGCGACAGGAACTGAATAGATATTTACAACTATTTTTGTTTAAACTAAATTATTTTCATTTCAAGAGAAAACACGGTGATAAACAACAGGAAACGTTTAAGTGTATACTAATGTCAGCTATATTATGTCATGGACGTACTAGAGAAGTCCATGATTATGTATAAATTATATGGCCCCTCCCTCAAAATATGATGATCAATCCCTTACCATGTCACCTGATTACAAACGTGACTAACGTCGGTCGACCTTTGAACCTTCTTTGCCTCAAAAGTTCATCATGGTCACGGTGGTGTTCGACCATATTCGACTCAGTGCTCAGGCTGGAATCATAATGCATCGATAGAAATGCAAACAAACCACCGTTCCACCGCATTTTATTAGCTGTTATACTTGAACTGGTGAGTTGACACGATTTTGGTAACATGCATGGCTGTGTGGCATCGACATACCAGAACATCCTCGAACAATTCACTGATTCTGCGATGATTGGCTATTAAATGACATTGCCGCAGACTGTGTTAAGGTGGAAAATATATGCCGGAAACAATTGGAGCTGCTAAAACTGCAGCAAGGATAAGCCACGGTTCAACTCATCATGTGGGTTATAGTCCCGGTCATAGTCACTGCGTATGTATCATACGCAAAACAACATTTCTCTATGGTCTTCTCGTGACTTGCCAAGCTCGTGTGACAATGTATTTTAAGGTGTAGTAATATGTACTAGAGTTTTTCCGGAAGTAAAATACATTAATTAATTATATTCCCAGAAGAGTCACTCTAAACCATTTCAACCTATATATTTTATGAAACCCACGCAAAAATCAATATTGTATTAGGCGCAAACCTTTGTTAGCTGGAATTAATTTTCGCTGAAAAGACTTTTTGGGTGTTTTGTATGGAATTTATTTTCACTGATTTTTGGTGAGTGGAGTGTAAAATATAGGAAAAAAGTATTTTCGCTGGATTTTATTTTCACTGAATCACTCCTTCAGCAAAAATAGCGAAAATTAATTCCAGGCGAAAAGTATTAAAAGAGCTATCAAAAATGTGGTCATACCTTTGTTACTTGGTCAATTTGTGGTCACAGTTTAGAGTAGTCTCATGGAGGTAGAAAAGTCTCTTTTCTACCTCCATGGTAGTCTCTAGCACATCATCTTCATAATTAGAGTAGATACCTTACGAAAAAGTGCTGTAGAATATCAATATTAGTGTAGTTTTGTCTTAATTTCTCTATCACCGCATATAAGTATACATGTATATATATTTTTTACAGGACTAATACATACTACATGAATCTATAATATGCAGTGCCTAATGATAAATACTGTGCAAACAATGCCTCTTCTGGCATTAAAGCATGTACATATCAGACCTGTAGTGACTTGTAGACTGTATCATGCACTACAAATAAGGAAGAATGAGCAGCACCACAGGATCTGTACAAACGTTCGAAATAAAACCACTGCTGTGATTTTCGACATGGGAGGAGTTGTGATACCTGGCCCAGTTGCAGTATTTCCAAGTAAGTATTTTGTTTTACTATCATATATTCCACTGTAATATACCATACTTGTGTTTTTTTAATGTACCATATCTCATGATTAGAGGATATCTCTATATTGACAAATTTTGCTTATGAGAAATTAATTCATATAAATGTTGGCAGAAAAGAAATGTCATTCAGAAAGCTTATAATTGGGACCTCGCATTCATAGGGGCTGCATATATTTAGATATGGACAGCAAATATAATCTCTTCATTTAGGAGGGGGGTTAAGTAGTTAAGGAAATTTTAATTACTGTATACCATAATTTCACTTAATTGTTACTTATGTTAGTTTAAATTATGGGTTAATTATTTTTCTACCATGCCATTGATTCACAAATTCATGATTATAATTTTGTAGAAATTTTATACCCGACCACTTACATTATAGTTTTAGAAAGCATCATTACACAATATTCTTTTAATTGTTCAATCTCTCAGGTCTTGAAGATAAGCTTGGCATTCCACATGGAACGCTTGCTTCAGTGATGGTAGCAGGTGGGGTGAATGGTGCATGGTCAAGGCTCCTCAGGGGAGAACTCAATGCTCAAACTTTTGTACAACCATTTGCAGAAGAGTGTTTGAAAAAAGTAAGTGAAGAAAGTGTTTGTGGATTGCTCTTATTCCCTTCACTATTGTAATTGTTGATATTAAAGGGCGGTAGTCGCCGTGCCGCGTCCTGTTTGATATGGGACTCATAGCGACGTGTACAACACGTGTAAAATACATTGTTTATTTACATGAAATTCGAAGACGCGCTGTGCGACGACCACCGCGCTTTAACCTTCTCACTCACCACCAGTTCTCTCTTTTCATCACAAATTCAGAAAATAGTCCCATTTATAGTCTTTTCGTCAAAAGATTGGGACAAAAATAGCCATATTTTTTGAGTAAGAACTGAAAATTCACTAAAAAGTTTGGCTGTTGGCTCCAAAATTAGGGTTTATTTCCAGAAATATTAAAAGAATATAAGAAAAAAGTGCAGAAAAATTTGGGCAAGAAAGTCTGGTGGTGAAAGGTTATTTAATTAGCCAAACTGTGATTTCCTTGTTTTTTTTTACAAAATCTTTTTTGTTTATGATTGGAAACTTTTGCATATATAAGTACGACAAAAAATTGTAAAAGTCTGCCAATAATTATTTTTATAAATTAAGTTAATAATTATTTAAGTTATCAAGCACCATTAATTCTCATGTAATCAATCAATGTAAAAGTACACAGGCTGATAAGATTAGGGTGTTAAAATATCTGATGTTATTGACTTTTATAATATAGTTTTATTTGATGTGGTTGATCACAAAACCCACATGTATGGTTACTTAATTATTTTTCACACAAACATAGGTCAAATGTTGATTTGTTGAATATCTCAAAATTTTGTTCGGTTATACATAGATGGGTAATTACAGTCATGTGTGTTTACTGAAATCATTGATTTGTAAGTTAAAAATCCACTATGAATTGAATAATTCACATGAACCCTGTGCCTTGACCCCCCCCCCCCCACCATTTAAATTGTATATGTCTCTCTTCAGATCACACATAGTTTTACAATGTACGTGAACGGACATATATATTTAAATTGGGGGTTGGGTTGAAGTATAGTGTTTTGTAATTCTAAATGCAAATTAGTGACTGTGAAAGAACTGATCAGTGTTCATCTCATTTTTGGGAGAGTTTTTCATTATTTTCAAAAAATGCTTAATATGTTCATTTTGTCTTTGCTAATTTTGTTCGTTTGCATAATTGAACATTTCAAGCATTTAATTAATGTGTATGAAATGGAAGCACTTTCAAGTATTCGCAAATTGCAAGACTTCAGTTTTGTGAAATTACCATCACATTTTATAATGCATGGTTATAAAAAATGCATACCATTATTTTATTAATCTTTGTTAGTAATCATTTTTTTCTGAAAAACTACTTTAACATGGATACTTATGAAAATATAAAAAAAAGAAAAACTTTCAAAACTAAAATTTGTATAAATGATACAGTTCTATCTAATAGAATGCCCATGCATGGATGACCTTAATTTAAACTCCTTGCGTACTTTCCATAAATAAGGTTGGTAGACCGATGGAAGTTGATGGAGTTCTTACTCACTATGCCAAGCAAGCTGCCACCCCATTTCCTGAAGTTTTAGAGGCTATAGAGTGTATCAGAGCAGAGGGAATGAAAACAGCACTGCTGACCAATAACTGGTGTTACCCAGATGGCAGCACTATCAGACCAGTAGATACCAAGTACTTTGATGTGGTATGTGATATGTTATCTCATGAATATGTATTATCTATACACAACCCACATTGTTATTTATTTTGTGTATATTTTGTTTTTGACACCTGGGCATAGTATAGTGTTAGCCTATTCACCTCAGGTCAGCAAGGTTGGGGATTTGATCCCCTTAGCAGAATGTTTACTTGGTGGCATAAACTGAAGTATGTACATTTTGCCCAAACCACCAAACATGCATTACTGGGTTTTGAAAAGTGGTGCTGTTTAAATGTGAACCATGTACAGTTCTTTTTCTTAGTGCACATAAAAATAACAGCAATAATTACTGTTACTCCTTTATGGAACCTGTAAATAGAATCAGTTCCCATTGGACTTAACTAAAAGTGAATGTTTTTAGATGAAATTTGGTGAAAAATCGCACTCCCTTATTTACTGACGTGCTTAGCTTGGTGATGATATGAGGTTATTATGAGTACACTGTTAAGTATACACAAAGACAGTACAGCGAGATTATCGACCGACGTGCAGTGGAGGACAATGTGACCATGTATTGTCTGAGTGCATACTTTACAGTATTCTTGTAATAATCTTATTATTATCCTTTCCTCCCAGGAAATACATCATGAGAATGTCGAAATCCAGAACATTTAGAACAGATTTAGCAAACTTCTTTGTGTGGGGGTCTGGTTAGGGGATGCTTACAAGCGTAATCATTCCATATTTGGAATTCGTGTTTCCTAATATGGTAGGATGAAAATACCCTGTGCAATACTTCAAAATTTATGGTGGCAGGTGACAGATGTATAATAATATATATATGTGCATAGATTTAGCGTATTTAAAATCTTAGTCATGTGACTAATGTCAATCATAGTGGCAAGTTTTCATATTGTAAAACATATTTGTATCATAATTGGCATAAATAGAACACTGTATTTATATCATCCAACCAATGTCCTATAAGCCACAGTGTAGTGTATTTTTAGTCTGAGGTGTACAGTATTTACTATATCCATGAAGCTATAATGATCTCATTATAGCTCCATATGTTATGTCAAGTAGAATTAGATTTTATTATGATTTCAATGTGATACCAAACATTCATTCAAGCATGGACCTACTAACACAGGATGAACATCAAGATTCAAGTATTAAAAAAAACATTTTGTTTCAGGAGAGTTTAATAATCGGCTTATTATTTTGCGTTGCCGCTAAAAAGTGGGCGTAGCTCTGGTACGGAAAATTAAATATTTTGTGAATATAATACATATAGACATGCACATTTCATCACATTTGTTAGCTGACCTTTCAGCCAACCGGAAACTCTCCATAACCTCGCTGTTGCTGCTTTCGTTGGAAGTAAAACGGGTTTTCCCACTTTTAATGCTGGAAGTTTTTACATTTTTCAAGAAACCATTACTTGACTGCCGACAATTTCCGATTCATGCTGCTTTTAATGTCAATATTATGTATACATGTATTCCCTTTGATTGCAACATTCGGTGACCGTTTGCAGTAGTTTGCAGTTGTTGTTTTTTTTGCACTGAATATTGCTTTGATTTTTTTGACCAGAATTCTTTGTTTACATGTGTGTTAACTATCTCGTGGTATATTTCTATGTTGATAAACCACTATTTTTTTTTTACTTCTTACACATTAAATGATCGTCTGTTTCTCCTTCTCCACAGAGACAAAATGAACTATTATCCAAAATTATGTCTTCCAACGCTTGTAATTCTTGTAAATAAAAATCTTTTCCTGCAAGTGAGCCTCACTCGCGTCTACGGCAGCCATTTTTAAAGTATTTATGACTTGTAACGTGACGGTTCGAAGTTACACGATGTCATTCGAACATGTTTGGAAGGTGTGAATTGCACAGGATTAGTCTGATAGGAGTCGAGTGCCTGCAGTAAAAAGCTAATAAACATTAATTAATCTCAAGTAGAGAGTAAATAGCAGCAACGCACATAGATCAAATGTGGGTCGATGTTCATTCTGTGGTGGTAGGTCCATGATTCAAGAGTGCATGTCAATGTTACATCATATACACATAAAAAAAATCAAAGAAAATGATCATTGTACATTTTTGCTGAAAAAATTCAAAAACAAAAATATACCTTTAGTACTACATAATGTCCTAATGTAGTCACGTTTTGATAAATCCCAATTTTCATTGTGACTCAGTGCATGATGCAAGGAAACATTATGATGTCTTTCATCAGTTTTCAATCAAAACTCATTTACATGGAGTTTAGAGACGGTTGTTTTAGGTTTTCTTCATTCATGTCATTAGGTGATAGAGTCAGCTATTGTGAAACTAAAAAAGCCAGATCCGAAGATCTACCAGATGTGTTTGGAGCGACTTGGTGCAAAACCCGAAGAAACAGTGTTTCTTGATGATATTGGTAAATACATTAAAGGAGCAAATGACGTTGGGATCAAAACAATTCAGGTTTGGTTATTATGCAGCTATATCCAGCTATAACAGCTGGATTTTTGATTCAAGGATTTTTTTTATTTTGATGATTTTATGGCATTTATGAGTACATGATTTCAACTTTATATTTGCATGGCTAAAATTGTAAGTGCATGGCCACTGGAGGGCGCTTACTTCCTGTTTCTAGTTGTATGCCTGACAAATTATTTGCAAAGATAAGATATGCCATCATGCAAAAAGTGACTGTACAACAATATGGACCAAGGAAAATCCCGTTGACAAGAATTGATTGTACAAAAAATATGACAAAATAATAATTTCTTCTTGGATATATTAATCCATTTTATCTTTCAAATTTGCCAGAACCACACTATATTATTTGCCATAATTATTAAAATCATGTTGGAATTTTAGTACAATTTTTTGTAATGCTCATCATTTATTTTGGGATGACAGTGTCATTGCTAAATATAAAATATAAATATAAAATATTTATGTAAATACAAAACTGAACATCAAGTCAAGAGTTGAATAGTTGTGAATGTTGAAATGAGATGTTTGTACATTGTCCATTTCCCGTAGGTTAAAAATATCAAAGATGCACTGCTGGAACTCAGTGACATACTTAGTATTCCCCTCACGGGTTACGTCGATGGTACAATTGCAGTCAGGAAAAATATGGAATTACCAGTAGACTCACTTGTGAACTATCTCAACAAACTTGGCTTCTCATCAGATGTACCACCCAATGTGCGGGAATTTAAAAGCGGACAGTCAAATCCAACTTATTATGTTGGATATGGAGGGAAGGAATTTGTTCTAAGAAAAAAACCACCAGGTAAAATTCTACCATCGGCCCATGCAGTAGAAAGAGAATACAAAGTTATGAAAGCACTAGGTAGTGCTGGGGTTCCCGTGCCAACAGTAATAGACCTTTGTGAAGACAGCAGGTAAATACAGAACAATACGGTGATTGTTGGATAAAAAAAGCTTTTTTGAAAGAGCCTTTCATGAGCAAATAGATTACTTATATTGCCCTCTGTGTCCGATATTTGAAATAACTTTGTTTTTTTATATTTTATGGGTGATTTATTTGTAAAAAGCAATAGTTTTGTCTGTGAAATAAAAAGATTGAATTTAATATAAGTGCTGAGTTTTCTAGGCTTCAGTAAGGTTAACCTAAGAAGAAATCCATGAAATTATAGAACATTGGGGACGACGTCAAAAGATTGATGTCGGATAAAAAACTTAGTTCCTTTAGTTTTTTTCCAAACCCCCCTACCCCCACTGAAACTTAATTGATAAATATTGGTCATGGCATCAGCCTACATTCACCATTAAATACAAATTGATAATCGGACAGTAGTATTGCATAGCAGTTGGTTGTCGGGAGGGTGTAAAAAGATTTTACAAATGCACCTCATTTGACGCACAGATTTACACTCAAACCAAACCATTTTTCTGTTTGTTTTTTTTTCCTTTTTCGATTATTTCTGTCCATGATTGGATAGAAAAATATACGAACTACAAATACTCCAAGATTTTTTTGACTTCATTAAAAAATAAAATCGTTTTTGTAGGATGGAAACTTTTTGAGGTCAAAACCCCCCACCCCCAAACTAAAGGAAATAAGTTTTTTATCCGACATCGATCTTTTGACGTCGTCCCTTACTGATATTGTGTATAAATTTAAGTCATTAACCAATGTCACTTGCAAACACCTTGTATTTATTTTTAGCATTGTAGGAACGCCGTTTTATCTGATGAATTACATAAGAGGACGTATCTTCAAAGAGTTGGCTCTACCTGGCATGAGCAATTCAGAAAGGCAGGATATTTTTACTGCAATGTGTGAAACGCTTATCAAGATACATAAGGCTGATGTTAAGAAAATAGGACTGCAAGATTTTGGCAAACACGGTATGTATTTATAGTCTTTGAAATTACTACCCAAGATGAGTAAGTTTGTAGTTGTGCTGGTCTAAAAAAAATCTTTTCATATTTGACTTCAATTAAAAATTCAAATATGTGATTTGACTAAATAATCTTATTGAAAGAAGTTGTAAGCTATTTTTCTCTGATAACTGATACAAAAATTGTAAAACAGAATGAAAAAATTAAATAATAATACAGGTTTTACAGTATAGTACTGAAGAAACACAAATCATTTGGAACCTTGTCTATTTCTGCTACATAGGGCTGATGAAATTTGACAATTATGAGAAATTAAAAATTTTTATTTTGTTTCTGTAATCTTGCAGTGTATGATTGTTTCTGATATGTAAAAGTGTGTAATTTGTCATACATTTATTAGGTGGGTGGATGCAATGAATTCACATTTACAGCACAAATAATTCAAGTTACTGTTGAAATATACTGTATTGGCATAAGGGGAGCTCATACTGTCCCATCTAAGCTGCACTACACAAGAAAAAACAGTGAACATAACAATACACACTCTGCATGGTGACACGGTGAGCACCCAGACATGAAACGGTGGAATAAACACAAAGTGAAATAAATATCTAACAGGAATTACAGCTTGTAAAAAAATCCATTGTTTAAAAACACCTATTCCACCCGCCCTAAATAATTTTGCTAGAATTAGTAAATACATACGAAGTACATACTGAACTATCCAAGATGACTACAAACTGCGTCGCATGGACTTATGTGCGAACAAGCGAGGCTCATGTCCTAAAATATGATTAATGCAATAAACATATAACAATTTAATTATATTAATTATTTTGATTAATGTGGGACAAGAAATTAATTTTTTTTTAATTTGCTTAAAAAAACAAAGCACATTCTCCAATTGGCACCAAAATATGGTCAACCTGTTCCCTGGCAAAATACAGAGATCAAAGCCACTGGCAAAGAATTCATCCCACATTGTGTTCAATACAGATTCTATGCACTGTGTATATTGAATGTGTGTAAAAGACAACATATTGCATACAAGGGTGCTTTATATAAACTCTGATAGTATCAATAGGTACCCTCAATCATTCATTTGAACATGTCATAAACTACAGTATCCTACCGAGGCCAAAAAAAACAATGTTGTGCTTCTAGTTCCAGATAAAATTGAAAAATTATGCTTTGCAGAGTGGAGCTGTTCATATTACTGATTTTCTATTGTCCATCGTTTTAAACTATACATACAGCTGTATGGATGTCATACACACCACCCATGTGCCTTGAATTGGTTCTCAGTCAGATTTGTTCATTTTGTGAAGAAACCATCAATTTTCTGATTTTACAGAATATTTTTGTCATTTTGGACTTATTCTTGAAAATGACTAGCCTAATTGCTTTAATATTATATTCGTAGACATTTTAAGTGGACTTCTAATGCTGCATACTGTAAAACCATTTATTTTCACTGACATTTAATTTCACTATTTTGATGTTTCGAGCATATTCACTGTGTTTTAATTTCACAAATTTGTCAAGAAAACTATGAGTTTTATTATTTTACATGTCCACGTAGATTTATTAATTTAGTGGATTTTTCTTATCAGCAAAAATAGCCAGAAATTAAAACCCAATGAATAATTAATACATCTACAGTATTCAATGCATGATTCCCATACACAGTTTATATTTTTGTATATACTGTAGGAAGTTACATCTTACGACAGACTTCGAGATGGAGTAAGCAATACAATTCCAGTAAGACCCGTCAGATAGCATCGATGGACAAGCTGATAGACTGGTTGCCAAAACATGCACCACAGAATGACAAAACAACTGTAACACACGGAGACTTCAGGTATGGGATTATATCAATATCAAATGCCCAAAATCTGTTTTATATGAACACAAAATGTTCTATATTCAGAACTGTATTATACAAGAGTTCTTTCTAAGCTTCCTTTGATTTGAAACTTGATGTTAATTTGAATTTTTCAAACGCTTTTTATTGTTCGATACCATTTTTGTTGTGTGTCCATCAAAACAGCCTATCCTGTTTCAAAACCTTTGTGGGCGCCATTTGGTTATAGTTATGCATACACAGAATAGTGTTAATGTTTTGAAAAATCATAAAAAAACTGAGAATTTACTTTGAGTGCTAATTTTTTTTATTTTCCCTGTTCAATTTAGAATACAACCACACACAGTGTGGATATTCAGAAATTTTATTAAGAGAAAAAAAAATATGAATCATTAAATGTGTATTTAACTGGAAATTAGTTTGAAACATCAGTTTCCTATTTAATTTAAAACCACTGCAATAAACACACAAATGTTAAGGTTGTGAAAAAATGTATTATTTGATGCAGATTGGATAACATGATATTTCACCCAACGGAACCTGTTGTTTTAGCAGTATTAGATTGGGAATTATCAACATTGGGTGATCCACTATCTGATGTTGCTTATTGGTGTATAGCACATTATCTAAAACCAGATAATATGATAATTAAAGGTAAGTCTCAATTTTGATTCTGGCGTGTGCATACCACAATGAGAAATGTCTTAATGTCTTAGCACAAGTATTTGTAATTAAATACATATTTAGTTATCTTTTCCACATACTTTTTCACTTTATTGATTTTTTTCTGGCGAATCTTTCGAAAACATAGCATATTCTTTATTTTGCCAATTGTTAGTATTTTTTTTAGAATTCCACAGCAAATTTGTATGAAAAATGTGTCGTAGCTGACTCATTCATAATAATTACGCAAACATAAACATACCATACATCAAATTAAATTTTACTATAATATAATAAACTCTGGGCAGCGGACTTCGATCGCATTATTCACGTACATTTCGACTGAACTCTAATAACCACGCGTTTGAATTACGTGCGGCACTGGGCAATGACATCCAGAGTTCATGCACTGATATTTAAGTTCGGGCCACCCAGCTTGACGCAAATCAATATAGTTACTTGTCATTTGTTCGAAAAATCTTTCAACTCTCACAAATACCATGGACGCGAAGAGTTAACTGAGGGTTAAATGAAAGGGGACGTCTTTCTTGGACAAAAAACACATCAGTACAAGATTATGTGTGCAAGGTTAGATTTATAGAAGGTACATAACCGCTTAAACTCTGTGTTTTTTACCGAATCCGGTTTAATGAAAATGTGACACGAGGTCAATCACCCGACCAATCAAAAATGTCAATTTACGCACCATAGGGCGATTCACTTATTTGACGTAATAGAATAATGGCAGGCAGATTGTCGATGCAACCCTGTAGACCAGCGACGAAAAAGCCCTGTACTAATCTATAATCGATGTGCTGACTGATGGATATTTATTGACTAAGTAATAATCTTGCCCAACATCTGTAGTGTCGTGGGGGAAAGATTTTTTTCACGTCAAATCTTTACCGAACCTAAACTGCTTGCTAACTGAAAGGCTGTGATGACGGAGATCATCTGCGATTGCGGCAACTCCAAGTACTGATAACATAAAATTATATGTATATTTTTAATGTCTTCATGCAATATATTCTGAGTTTTCCACGAATTAATAGGATACAATTTTAAACATGTTTTTGAACGCCGCGAATTAAAAGGATACATTTAAAAATTAGCGTTCGAAAATAAAATCGGTGCGCAACTAATAGAGACCGCGAGTTAATTGAGTTTTTACGGTATATATGTGTAAATGTATTGTACCATCCGGCAACACGGGTGAGTACTGATGTACTGGACTGATGCCAAAAATAACAAATAAAAAAATGTATTGGTTTTATTTTGACAAATTAGGCCACCCACCAGCTGTTTTAGATTGTGGAGAACACAGACTTCCTATTTTTATTGCAAAATGTTCCTCACTAATGTATTGCCTGATTCAGTTGAAAATTTGCATACAAGTATGTGCTATACTCCTAATTATCTATGTTGTGATATTTTATGATTAGAACAAATTGATGAAACCTGTATGAAATCGCACTTGAACAACAGTTTCTTTGAGATGAACTGGATGATTTCTCTGAGATGGCTTGCAAGATTTTTTTACAAAATTAATACAAAGATTCTACATACTGGATTTTGGTTACACACACATTTTTTGTGATTTAACTGATTATACTCAGCCTATTAAATTTACATTGCCAGCAATGGCTGATAGCATCACAGCACTATTTACCAGAACGTACACCCACACTACTAGATTTCTGCTAGTGGTTTTGCATTATATACAGAGCTGGATCTGAGCATTGTCAATGCTTGTTTAGAATTTGTGTTAAATTTTGACAATATAGCCAACAATACATTTCTTGATTAAAAATTTTGAAAAAAATATGGATGTAAGCTTGACTTCGGGATGACATGTATATCTAATGAGTAAATTTTGTATTGCAATATTTTCAGTTTAACAACAAATACTGTTTGAGAACATATATTTTTGACAGAAAATAATCTGACAACAAAAAATTCTTCTTCATGTAGGTTTATATGGACTTGACTTTAAAAGTTTAGGCATCCCCACAGATAAAGAAATGGTGGAGCAATACTGCCAGACTGCTGGTATCCCTGGAATAGAAAATTATGATTTCTATATGGCGTTTAGTTTCTTTCGTATAGCAGCTATTTTGCAAGGAGTTTATAAAAGATCTTTACAAGGTAAATCTTTTTAAATACTAATTTCTTCTCCAATCCACAATTCAATTGTGATGTAAACAGCAACTTTGAAAACCATTTATTTTCATTAAAATATTCATTTTGTGCTCAGATATATAAACTATGGTAATATTCACATATCAGTAAGTGATTTTGGACATCAGGGCAGCAAGTTTCTTCTTGACTTCACCAAGTATGTGCTCGATCTGTTAAACGAATGCAGATTTTCACCAATAACTTAACAAATTTATGTACCAGACTAATATTGTACATTATTTAAGAAAGATTAAAGAAAAATGACTTAAGTCATCTTTAGATAAAAGAAAATTTTAAGTCACCAACATGGCAACACAGACAAGCTATACTTTATATGTCACTTCTCATTTCATTAAAGGCAAAGCTTAATACTTAATACTTCTCCAACCCACAACTCAATAATGATGTAAAAATGAAACATTTAAAAGATTACCTTGTTTGTATAATATTTATTTCATTTCAAAATTATGAAAAGAACATACAAACAATTATTTTGTTCTAAAATTGCTGGAGGGAAAGATATAAAAATGTGTGTGATTTTTTTTTCTTGCTTTGCCTTTAATGAAATGACTACACAAGTAAATGCAAACTTGCCAAAAAAAATGTATCAAAATTTGTTTTTAATTATAGCTCACTTTACGAATCTGAATTCTTTATACAGACTGAGGGTTTGTCTCTTCTATAAAAGAGGTGGAGGAAACCATTGTTAACATAATGCTGTTAATTAGATGTACAATGAACGACTTTCAGCATTTTATTTTTGGTATTCTAATAAAAACTGTTTTCGTAATGGTTTAAAACTCAGTACATGAAGTGTAGTTAAATGTCAAACATAAATTGGAACTAATCTGCATCTTAAAATTAGCTAATTTCCATAAAATTAATTACATACATGTTGTTGAAATTGTTGCACAGATGTGTTTACATGGGACATGGGACAACCACATGTCAATATTCACCTATTGGATAAACCATGAAAACATGTCATGAAACAAAATACAATTTTTTTTAATGAGAATGTTAGTAATACATTTTTATGAACAAAATTAATGACACCATAAAATGAAACTACACTGACCTTGTTTGATTCTTGCTTTTTTGTGAGATTTTAATGTACCAGTGATTGAACTATGAATGTGCTATTTTAAAGACAATCGTTTTCTAAAGGTGCTGATTAAAATTGATACTTTGTTTGTATTGTTTTTGTGTAGTTGAAAATCAATTTCGGAATTATTTAATTTTCAGTCTGTTTATAGTGTATTATTATTTGTAGTAGTTTGTTCAAAATTGTTTTAAATTTTACATAGGTGTAGTTGAATATCTGTGTTATCATTAATAGGACAATCATCATCACAGACTGGCCAGATTGTTGGTGCCTATGCTGAAGATATGGCCGACACCGCTTGGTCATTTGCTGAGAAGTATAATAAAACCCTATCACAAAAACAGTCTGGTAAAATTGAAAATCAGCCCGGGAATCGGAGTTATTCCACATGGACAATCAATGGGCACCACACAGGACAAAGACATTACTCCACACAAAGCAAAGATAACAGCACTACTTATGGTAAAATAACTTTACTTTACTTTTGTACACTTTCTGTTGCTGTCCAGTGTTTGAAAACACTTGTCTTGTTATTATCGTGTACTATTAAAAAAAAGTACTTTTTATAATCGCAAACACTTTTCTCATTATGTTTTATGGAATTAATATGCATTTATACATGTACTGTAATTTTTTTCCCCTTGAAACTTATTTACAAAAGTGGAAATCACATACCCCAACCCTAGATCATCAACACGAGTATATAAGGAAATTTACCTCCCTGAAAACACAAAACAAATACAGGGCACCAATCGAAAATCCCAATCAAAAAAGAACAAGACAATTAACTGGCGAGTACATACGTGAGAGAAAGATAAATGGACCCTGTGGTATAAATGAAGTGATCTCAGAGTGAGCACATCTTGATTCCCATATGACACCTGCCATATATCTCCTCAAGACGGGAAGGCGCATGTGCGGGAATTGAGTCCCAAGCGACGATAACAACACACGCTAAAAACGCAAAGGCTCATAGGTAGACGCTTGTTTGTAAACAGTGACACGCTATGGCCATCTGACGCATGTGCAGGTGACGACTCCCCAGCTTTAATAAGTCATAATGAAATGGGTTCAGCAGATGAGTGACATTGATGTCATCTGCGTAACACTATTATTGCATTTAACCACAAGCTCAATGTTTTCACCTAGAAAAAAGCTTTTTGAATTGTTTGCAACTCCACAAGTCTTCTCTTTTCTTAGGCCTACTTCCTGTTTTGGAATCAGCTCTCCCAGACCATGTTCAAGATCTACATTCCAGAGTAAAAGCATTTATAAATAAAAATATATATCCAATTGAGAAAGATATAGTTAAACATCAGATGTCTGCTGATAGGTGGTCACCACATCCACTTGTTGAGAAATTGAAGGTATGCCTAACGATGCATGCATGCATTGGAAAGCCTCGGATTAACTCGCAACATAATCCTTCTCCGGTTATTTGTGGAGATAAGTACAAATTAAAAAAGTCTATGTATAGTCGCATGCACACTCTCTTCGGTCTAAAAATTACAGTATTTACTGGTACAAAAGCTTAGTAGAATGTTATTTTAGTTGTGGCTTATGATTTCTACTGAGATGTATCATTCAGAAAATAGGTTTGTTGGCAAGATAAATTATTTGAAAACAATGTGTTTTAAAAACACAAAAGAAAATTTGTTAAATGGTTAAGTAGTTATAGCTCTTGCGATGCAAACTAATATGGCTCCATGTATAGTACATGATTATTAACAAAAAGATCAAACCACAGACTTGATGAAAAGTTAAGCACTGACAAACACAGTTTATTACAAAGACGATAAATTCAAATGGCCAAGACAATTAAAATAATTTGGACGCAGCGTACGTTTGGGCAGTTTTCAGAACATTAAGTATTACTACTATTTGAAGTCGAAACAGTAATATAGAATATAGTGTGTCACACTGTAATCGTCTTCAAACTAGAAATTTATCGGCAAGTCTTAAATTTGCTTTCAATTAGCAATTTGTGTTTAGATGTTATTTTGCATAAGTAATGTTTGTTTTGAAAATGTACTGTAAATATATTAAACTAAAATGGCATCATCCATAGTAAATTAAAATAGTAATATTAAAAAATTTCTATTATTTCTATTTGTTTTATTTTGATTAAAGTATTCCACACTATGGTTACATTTCTATTTTTTTATAGGAGAAGGCAAAATCAGAGAATTTATGGAATCTGTTTTTACCAAGAGAAACTGACCCAGATGTAAAATATGGTGCGGGCTTATCTAATTTGGAATATGCTTACCTTTGTGAAAGTATGGGGAAGTCCATGATAGCTCCTGAGGTGTTTAACTGTTCAGCACCAGATACTGGTAATATGGAGGTGCTGGTGAAGTATGGAACAAATACCCAAAAACAAGAATGGCTAATTCCCTTATTGGATGGGAAAATAAGATCATGTTTTGCTATGACAGAACCTGAGGTGAAGCTTTAATGGAATCAGATCAATTTGTCAAATAGTAAAAAAATGTTTATACTCAATATTATTACATAGATCCTTCCACAATGCTTTCCTTGTGTATATATCGATTGAATTACAAATAAAGTCCATGGAACTTATGATTGTTCAAGCTCTATTCAGACAAATCAACAAACAATTTTTGAGATAAAGAGCTGTTTACAAAATAAATTTCATGAATCATGTTTCCGTCGTTAATTGGTTTCTAGGGTGATGATTATTCCAATTTCCAATACAGATAAAATTGTGTGTTTTTTTTTGCACAATACTATCATTATAAACTTCATGTCACAGCAACATTTGTAACGCATACTAGATGTAGGACCTGCACCATCTGACCTGTGGTGAAAACTTTATTATGAAAGTTTGGGTAGAATTTGAATATTAATACCATTCGGTTACCGACAATTAAAAAAAATGGGTCACTGGACGTTTCGAACAAAAAAGAATCCATTGGTCCCTTTGGTGAATTATTTTTTTTTCACATCAAGATTTTGGTAGTGGCATGGTATGAGAAGTTGGCCAATATTATTGGCATGACATTTTTAAATCGTTTCATATAAACTATATGTTTTTCACTAGGGTTATGTTGTGATATTAGTTTACCATTATATACAATGCGATGTTGTATTCCATAATACATTTGCGCAATGACGTACCTAGTTATGCAAAATCTGAATTCAAATTGAATTACTTTAACTTCGAATATTCTTGAATTACAGGTTGCGTCATCAGATGCCTCTAATATCAGATCGTCTATCATACAAGAAGGAGGAGAATACATCCTGAATGGGAGGAAGTGGTGGACGTCTGGAGCTATGGATCCAAGGTGTAAATTATGTATATTTATGGGAAAGACCGACACATCAGCAGCTCGACATCAGCAACAATCAATGATTCTTGTTCCCATGGAATCACCAGGTGTGTACACGAGTTGTATTAATTGCAGTGAATGCGATTTTACTGTGTCATGGATATGTGTAAAAGTATTTGCATCATTACAATTGAATAACAAATGATGTGTGTAACGCACTCAATTCATGATGTACTTTTATTTGTAGAATGGCCATGCCTTATTCATAAATTTGTTTCGAGAATATTTGACCACAGAATGATACAGAAATTGCTTTCCATATGAGCCAGAGGTTTTGTGCACTATAAGCTTCAGTGCTTGGATACATACATTACTTTATTAGTATGTATTATACCATTGTTAAGTTTGTCAATATGAGTTTATTGTTAAAAGCTTAACTAGAATATCTTTATCTTTTCTTACAATCAAGGTATTACAAAAATTCGTCCTTTATCTGTTTTTGGATTTGATGATGCCCCTGCTGGCCATGCAGAAATTGTTTTTGAAAATGTCCGAGTGCCAGCTACCAATTTGTTATTAGGCGAAGGCAGAGGATTCGAAATTGCTCAAGTAAGCACAATTATAATTGACTATTGTGTGCATATTTACTGGTTGTGTGTAGAAATATATTATCAGTTTCAATTAAACTCATTTTCATTTCATTACTGTTTACCTTCCAGAATATGTATTATCAAAAAATAGTGAAATTTACATATTTGTGGAAGGCTAATAATCACTCATCGATTTTCTGATTTCAGGGGCGTCTTGGGCCAGGTCGTATACATCATTGCATGAGGCTCATTGGGTATGCAGAAAGATCGCTAGAACTGATGATAAAGAGGGTTAGTGCATAAGGCTAGATTGTTTTCGACACAAGTACACATGATTGTGGTTCTATAGCATTCTCAGTTGTAAAATATCAAACCTAATATTGTATTGTTAATGTCATAATTAAGAGTTCGCAGAATAAAATCATTCTGCATTGCATATTTAGTTATACAACAATAATTACTGAAAGGGTATAATGTTACCTGAACTCATTTATTAATAGAGCTGGTTGACATTTTTGGCGTCTCTGACTGAATTAATCCCTCACGTTTGATTTGTGAATAATACTTGCTCATGACATTTTTGTATCAGTATGACATAGTATACACGTTCTTAGGTCGTGTAACTAGTATTATTATTATTGTATGCATAATTACACATACTGGGAATTTTTCAATTGTCTTTGATTATTTCATTTTGTAGGTGAAGGACAGAGTCGCATTTGGCAAACCATTGGTAGAACAAGGTACAATCCAAGCTGATATCGCTGAATCTAGAATGGATATTGAGCAAGCAAGGCTGTTAACTCTTAAAGCAGCTCATATGATGGATACCGTTGGAAACAAGGTATGATAAAATGCAAAAAAATCGTTTTGAATCTCATTGTCTGTTGGATGAATTGTATATATGGTTTACCAAGCTTCGTAATCGGTCACATGGTATGAACACATTATTCTGTTCTTTCTTTTGCATTAGATTTACTAAAAACGTGAACGTGATTTTATCTCAACAAATGTCGTCATATAGGCACTACACAATGTACAATTAAGAACGCCACTGTTTATTCATGCACGTCATCATTTTGTAGGGTACCATTCGAAATAACAAAATAACCAACATTACCCGACATGCATGGTTTCTGCATAATTACTGAAAAAGCATTATCTTGCAATAAATGGAACCCATTAAGTGAAAACACAATCAAGCATTCCTATATTGTTGGAAATATATCACTGAGATATTATTTAAAGGTCTTGGATTCTCAAATCAAATGATTTACTAAAATGGGCGACAAACATAGGTCAAACTCTTTGAAAGTTTCATTTAATACTTCTATGACGATGACGATGAACAAATTATTAGGATAGGGGAATCATTTGGATTAGATTCAGTATGGGAGGCTTGTGTCAGACTAGCCATTGCCTATTGTGTTTTTAATTTATTTGTTCGTTATTTATTTATTACTAAACCTTGTATTCTTAATTTATGATAGCACTTTTTTGTCAACATTTAATATTTAAAGGTTGCAGCACCAGAGATTGCAATGATTAAAGTGGTAGCTCCTCGTATGGCGCAGCGAGTGATTGATAGATCTATGCAAGCACATGGAGGTGGTGGACTCAATCATGATTTTCCCTTGGCAATATTCTTTGCATGGGCTCGCATATTGAGACTTGCAGATGGACCAGACGAAGTACACAGAAGAGCAGTATCAAAAATGGAAATCCGAAAACATACATAGACAACAAAAACTACTGATATATGCTTGATTAATTTAAAAGTCGAACCGCCATGTATGTAATGTGTAATTTAAATTGAAATATGAATGAACAGCAACGTGTCTTTCTGGAAAAATCAAGTGTATTTTCAGTCCCCGTTCGTGCGTCGGTGTGTCTGTACCTGTATCTTAGACTTGCCTGGACTAATTACCATCAAACTTTACACATACATCATACATAATATTATACATATTAACATCAATTTGTTTCACGATCTGATTCAAGATGGCCGAATGGCAGCCATTTTTCTACTGAAAATAATCAAAATCAAGCATTTCTCGGCTGACACAGGTGGGTTTTTGTTTGTTTGGTATATACATTGGGCAGTATGGGTCCTTGATGCACGTCATTTTATTTTTTCAGTCTGGTAGCCATTGTTTTCAATGAACGCGGTTCTAGTTCCATATTTTTTACATGCTTTGACTGCTTTTATATTTTATACATTCATTATATATCATTTCATAGATATACAGATGTATTGATATGACAATCCGATTCAAAATGGCCGACCGGTAGCCATTTTGTTTTAATTAATGTTCCAGAGCAATATTTCTTAGTATGAACAAGTACTTGTACTATATTACTATAAACAAAACTATATAACTTAGATTTGATAACTAACGGGGCTGTGCCATACATGGCTTGTTAATAAATAAATGATGCAAATTGGGTATTAGTTGAAATTGATTTTATTATAATTATGTAAGGATATGTTAATGGTTCATTTGTACAATTGTACATAATTTAATCTAGCTGAAAGATGCAATTTATATATGCACACAGTTTGAACACTTTATTTGAATCAGTGGGAAGTGTGTTGGTTCCCCGAGATACATACTCAAAAACGAACTTCTTAGTTTTATGCGACATTTTTCGGCGCCTTTATAATTCGTTCATGCCTTCACCGATTTTTTTATATTCACACAGAACATGTATACACCAATATCTGTTCGTTTGATCTTTCCAATTTGTATACATAAATGCATCTAAATATGTCAGCTGTTTCTCAGGCATGTTAGTTTAAACTGGGTTCGATCATCACTCAAAGTAGATTATTGATGACTTTTTGTGACTTCCTTCAAAGTGTCTGTACTTTCACGGCCATTGCTTGACTGGTGTTGTTCGAAGTAGTTACAAAAGCAAGACTTATTAAAATCATGTGTACGTTGATTTCGTTTTACTTAGATCAACTGGCGGCTAGTTTTTTTTTCTTTAATTTGGTAGGCCAATTTATGTTTTGTGTATTCTACCCATTATCAGAATTCTACGGATTTGGTTGAAACTTTGAACAAAAGATAAACATACTTGAGATGAAATAAATGTAAAACCATTCAACAGTAATTTTCTTTTTTCTCTGATGCACTTGAATAATTTTGTTTAAATTTGAAACAAAAGCAAGACATGGTGGGTTTCATGTTTATTTCAATTTGTTTCCGCTCCGATACAGTTTCCGTGATTTCCATCAAAATCTAATACAATCATACATGAAGACACTGACGAAGATATCGAGGGTGTACCATTAGGCCATGGGCCAGGATAGGCTATCGTGCATCTCCCCCCCCCCACAACTCTACCATACCATTTTTTTTTAACCATTGGGGTCTACTCAATATGAAATCAAGTGGTAACAGTGAATAAACTGGGACTCTGTGTTCATTTTCCCCATATTTTAGATGGTACCTCTGAAAAGTCATATTTCTGCTGTTGTCACCACACAAAATGAAAACCATATTACCATGACTATTATGATGTTTAAATAAATAGCAAGAATAGCAATTGTTGGTAAAATTGAAGGATAACATCTGCTGATTATAACGAAATGTTACATTTTATGTCAAAATTTGCATAACGGTGGCCATTTTGAATATTTGATGAGCAAAATGCTTAATTTCAGTATTTTTTGACAAATGCTATATAATCATGTTTAATACATGTCATTATAGGTTTGTTTGGTCAAGGAATTTATTTTTGCTATTAGTAAGGTAAGAAAATCAACTGATATTAAGAGATTAACATATTTTCTAGTGATATTAGTGTCAAGAAATGGAAGAACCTCTCACATATATGTGTGCATGATTCTTATAGATAATCTGTACATTTCCAGATACTATGTTTTGGCTGTAACAGATTTGATGACCATCAAATAAATTAATGCCATCATAGACAATTTACTCGCCCTTCATTGAACGCACGTTTTGGTATCCTTTTAACCATTTTTTAACCAATTTGTTTTCTATTAATTTGCAGATTGTGCATTGTGGCTGAAATAACAACAAAATCAATGATTTGAAGTAACACAATGGAACCATCATCGAAAAAAAAAAAAACGGCCATGTGTACGACTTCCTTCCACTGTCTGTATAGTTCATGTGCCAGGCTTAAAGTATGGCGAACTGCAATTATTGTCTGGGATGAAAGATGCTCAAAATAAATTGGCCAAACTGCGAGAGATTAAAGAAATGCGGCTTGCACAACCTTTTGGATCTAACCACATGATGAAAGATACATGTCAGCTCATTCCAGATCAGATTTCAGAACACCATGGTTTCCACTGGCAATGTTATAAGCGTTTTACAATGAACCTTGATAGACTTAAACCAACTGCAAGTACATCACAGGGTGCTGATACAACTCCACAACGTTTGAGTCGCAGAAGTGCAATAGACAAGATTATATTCAACCCTGATTGTATTTTCTGTGGTTCAGAGAAACGAAAGAAGGTCAAAGTACATCAGAGCTGGACTAGCCAGGGGATGAGCCAGTTTGAATTTGATGGCTGGAAGTCGGTTCTGGAGATGGCTGAGAAGAAAAGGGACGAGTGCCTATTAACAAAGATCCGAGGTTTTGATCTTTTTGCTTGTGAAGCAAAGTTCCATAAGAGCTGCTGAATGGAATATATGCAGAACCCCGAGAAATGGTAGTAGAGTTCTAATGAAGAGGCACGGCAGCAGCAGCTTGATTTAGAAGATGCCCATAAAAAGGCCTTTGAAGTAGTGTGTGACATTGTGGAGAAAGAGATCCTTACAGAACAGAATATTGTGAAACTATCTGTCTTGAGGCAGGTGTATGTTACCAGTTTCGAAAACAGCAAACACTATAATCGAATTATCGAAGTGAGAAACTGAAGGCAAAGCTGAAAGGTCACCACCCTTTCAAAGAGAGACTCTCATTTTGTGATCTTGGAAAGTTCCAGTCCTACATTGTATTCAGCTCTGAAATTGATGTCCAATCAGCAGTAAAGCATGCTTTCCAGTTGGGATTATTGAAACTGTTGGGTCACAGTTGAGGCAGTCTATTCTAAATGGTTTCTATGAAGCACCTGATCCCAAATGGCCACCAAATCCCTCTGATCTTCCTCAGATAGATACTGTCATACCAGACTTACTCAACAAACTACTATGTTACATCATAACTGGAATGCCAGCTGCCTCAACAACTCCGGAGCCAAAGATTAGTTCAGTCAATTGGACAAGATATCTGCTGTGCTGCCACCAGTGGATCTTGGAAACTCCCAAAACATATACTAATGATGCATGTCTTTAGACACATGTTTAGAAGTGAAAAACTCATAACACTTCTGAACAGAATGGGACACTGTGAGAGCTACTCCTTTGCACTGGAATTAGAAACTGCCCTGGCTCAGACTGAATCCAGTCAGCAACACATCTCTCCAACCAGATCGTCAGATTACCATCTGGTCCATCTGTTTTCCATTCTGAGTTCGATAACTTTGATTCATTATTGAATGACTTAACTGGCAAAGGATCCGTTCATACAGCTCATGGAATAATGCTACAAGAAGTTGAGGGTGACATAGGTGAAAGTTTTCTTGAAATGCCTTCTCAGACAAAGAACAAACAACGTTCTTTGCATCTAACAGAAGAAGTCACACTTCCTGACTGCTATGTCACTAACAGTCCAAAGCTTCAAGTTACAAAGCTACATTATCACAAAAGCAAGGGAAGCTTCAACTA